CGGTGATCTCTCAACTTCATGTTGTATGGCGAACTTTCGTCCTGCGGTAGCGGGCATTCCGGGTGTTGCAGTCCTGGTCTGCACGAGAAAAAGAGGAGCCAGGATGGACCAATTAGGATGTGTTTCGGAAATCAGCGGGCATTCCGGGTGTTGCAGTCCTGGTCTGCACGAGAAAAAGAGGAGCCAGGATGGACTAAGCAGGCTCTAGCGGAAATCAGCGGGCATTCCGGGTGTTGCAGTCCTGGTCTGCACGAGAAAAAGAGGAGCCAGGCTGGACTAATTAGGCTTTAGCGGAAATCACCACCGGGCCGAAAGTTTCGACATGCAGCTTATAACATAGATGTATGCCGCGGAGAGGCGGAGAGCCCCAAGACCCATTTTACTTGGCCAGCGTGGCGGAGTAATTACTTTCCGGGAATAAATTTATACTATTATATAGCTTCCGGCGGAGAGCTTTGCGGGGTTGTGCTAGGATTCTACGCGGGAAAAGGGGTGAACATGCGGTGATCTCTCAACTTCATGTTGTATGGCGAACTTTCGTCCTGCGGTAGTATATATTTAATATTATATAATATAATATAATATTATATTATATTATATTATATTATATTATATTAAAGTGTGTTATATTATATTATATTATATTATATTATATTATATTATATTATATTATATTATATTATATTATTTTATATCATATTATATTATATTATATTATACTATATTATATTATATTATATTATATTATACTATATTATATTATACTATATTATACTATATTATATTATATTATATTATGTTATATTATATTATGTTATACTATATTATACTATATTATATTATATTTTATTTCTTTTTATTATATTATATTATATCATATTATATTATACTATACTATATTATATTATATTATATTATATTATATTATATTATATTATATATATATATCAGCATATGTGATTGAATGTATTAATTATATAGTACCTTTAATGCCATTTTGTAGTGCATATGCCATGTTGTGTATTTCGCGTTATGTCTGTATTGTCATCATGATATGTTATAGAACATCTCATCGACGGGGGTCCCCTTGCGCTGTTCGTGGTCGCGGCAGCAGCACCAAGTGTTAGTGTTATTTCATTTTTGATTATTAGTGCTCGTAGTGTGATTCGTATGCTTAGAATTACTAGTGTTGTATTAGCACTGGTATTGCTCATATTAGTAGATATTAGTAGTATATCAGTATGCTTGTTATTACCCATAGTCTTGTTGTTCTCCCTGGTTTTTTCTGCTTTCCTTCCTTCCGTCTGCCCTGTTTTTTTCCTTTTCCGTCCTTTCCTTCTTCATTCCTTCCTTCCTTCCCACGGAAACGCCCAAAAAAACAAGGCAACAAAAAAAACAAAAGGGCCAAAAAATTGGGTCCCCTCATCAGCACATGCGGGGTGCTCGGGGCTGATTGAATCGAAAGCCTTTGCCCTGTCCGAATCCACAAGGACCAGAGTACCATTCCGGTGCGCCACTGCCAGATCGAGCCATTTTCGTTTAGCAAATGCAATATAGCAACAGCATTGCCCTGCTTGGTACGGAAGTCAAATTGTGTAGGCCAGATTCACTCCCCAGCTCCTGCGTTCTGTAAGTGTCTGAGCAGAACCCTGGCAAACTACGATGGTGATGGGGCGCAATTTTTGCATAAAGCCGCATAAAACCGGATCACCTCTTTAACAACATCGCCGTCACTTAAGCTTTGTGCCACGAAATGGCACCTTCACATGATCACGGATTGCATCGCAAAGATTTGCAAAGTGTAATGGCCCACCTACACGCGGGAGAAGGGGTAACATGGCACCTATTCTTTTTGCATCCAGAGAATTCGAAATTCGACGAAGCTTGTTGACCAAGGATTTCTCAATGAACAACAGGTTGAAACAAGAACTGCTGATTCATGTGACTCCGGCAGCATTGTATGGAGTATATGGAGTATCAACTTTGCTGCTTGCTCACCAACTAACGTTGTTCAACGTGGTATTGTAGGGTGGTCACGATGAAAACGATGATTTCACTGGTCTCCTATGCTTAGGGCCCGCATCTCGCTCTTTTGCAATTGGACGGAGCAACAGCGAAATCGTAAACTATGCAAATTCAGACAAAGCGCCGTGCGCGCTTGAGTTCTGGGTGCGACTCTTGCTTGGGGCTGGCGTGGCGGGCGACCCTGGCACCGGCCTCGCGACATACCCATGCAACGGCATGCTCTAAGACTCTAGGGTCTCGGGGATGTGGGTATCAACGAGGGAGCGACAGCGGCGCCGCCAGGTAGGCAGATTCTGGCGTCAAGTGAACCGCCCAGCGCACGCAACAAACCAAAGAATACAGCATAAGGCTTTTCAGGCCCGGCCTGAAACACCGACAAAGGTGCGAGGCGCGCCCTTCATCACAGGTTCGGGCGGTACGGTGTTGCCAGCCGCGCAGCTAATCCGCCTGCGCCTCATGGTGGGTGAGGCCTCGGCGAGGCCACAATGTTCGTATTCGAAGCGGGAGGTGGCTGGCAGATGTAGGCAGTGGCAACATTCGCGAGAGGGAGTTGAGTTGATTCGAGGGCACACGCCACACCTCAGAAGCAGTCGGGCGGCTGGAGGGTCCTCAATGGCGGGAACGCGGGTGTAAACGCCGTCCGCTTCGGAGCGGGTTCTTAGCTTGGAGGATCCCCGGCCGTTTGTAGTATTTGCCAGCAGCGTTCCACATCCAGCTTTTGTCGCTTTCGAGCTCTGTGCGCACATGCCCTTCAGGGCAGCACGGACGGCGTCCAGGAGGACCCTTCCGGGCGGTACGACGATCCAAGAAACTGAAATTTGCCTGTCTCGGATGCCGGTGCATCGGGCCGCTGCAGCGTGCAATGCTACCTGGTTTTGTAGAAGTTTCATCCCATGAGGACCGTGACCTTGCACTTCGCAGTGCAAGGTTGGATATGGTTGGATCATGAGGGACAGCGCGTACGGGCTACACAAGAGATAGATCACGAGTTGAAAACGGCCCCACATGTTTGGTGCATGTCTTCAAAGGTCGGTGGAACATTCCGTACATCGCACATGTCATAGATGGGGTGCCTTAATTAGAGTCTTTCTCGGTCCGTGCGGATGGAGGTTCGGCGGTTACGGCCTACGTGCAGCAGGTGTCCACACGTGTCCACTGTGACTGACATGGTGAGTGGGGCCACCTGGAAATCACCACGACAGCGCTGAACTTCAGGAGCTCACAAAAGCTAGCTGACCTCGCCATGCTGGGCTTTGAAAGGTGACAAGGCAGCTGGCAAAGGCGAAACCTCGCATAAGCACTCGGACACACGGGCACAATGTCACGATGCAGGACTGAAAGGGGTTTAGCCGATGCAAAACTCTTTGAACTCCATGATCACATGCTCAGCCAGGGATTGTCAAGCTTGTACCGCCAGGAACACACATGCCGTCCTCGGATTATTCTGTCAGTGACGCAGACTTATTACTTGCACGTTGCGGACATTCTGACGTTGAAATCGTCGAGACCGCAAGTGCTTTAGCCAGCTATTACCAGGCGCATCCCGTATTTGCAAGACTGTATTCTTGGACTCGGACGAGCTCAAGGCAAGCAAGACCCAAGTCCAACTACCCTTCGAGTAGTACTAGTATCAACAAGTGTTTTTTGCGTCTCCAATGCGAGCTTCTACATGGCGGGAGCGGCCAAACAGAGACAGCGTGACCTTGTGTAGAATTCAACTCACGAGCGCAGCATGGCCTAATGAACTGATTGAAGTGAAGGCCGCACCGTGCTGCAAAGCGACCTTGCATCGAATCCCTCTATCTACGCGGCCCGACAAACTCGGGAGAGGCCACACAGAGTTAGCATTAGCCTGGGGGTGGGGGCTGCTCACCCCAACACTGCTATCAACAGCAAGAGAACCAACAACAACGACGGATATCCAACACCACCCCAAAATAAAGATACCTTACCTGATGCCAGATCCCCTCCGCAAAAGACCTCCCACCCGCCCACTCCATCGTGCGCCCCTCTCAAACGTGCTGGGGGCAAGGCGCTTTCCTTGTGCCCGATGTGGTAGTTCTTTTTTTCCCGCGGGCCGTTTTCAGTCAGCACTGACTGTGCCAGACAGCTGCTACCACGTCACTGACTTCATGCCGTGCAGCTGCCCCCGTTGTGGCAGTTTGTGGTTTGTGAGACGCTGTCCCCAAAGCGAGTTGCTGAACCCACCTGCAACATGAATCAAACAGAAAAAAGGAAGTTGTTGAGAAAGCCTTCGGATTCGAGTTTGTTGACGAACCCACCATCCAACCTGAAGTTCACGGCCAAGGCTTGCAACGAGGTTATCCTTGTCGTGCCTCGGCACGAGTGATGCAAACAAACCAAAACACTGTATGCTGGTGAACATCTAGCAAAGCGCAATGCAAGTCATTCAGCACAAAAGACGCTCGGAAGATCTTGCAAGGTGGACGCTAGACGTAACACAGCAAGGAGCCTGCTGTCCAGCAGCAACACGGAAACAGCCTTCGTGTCAGCTGCAACGGACCGTCTGATACGACAGAGTGGAAGCATCAAAGGCAGATCACCTCAATGTTGTCAAACAAAGCTGTGCGCAGGATTGAATCGTCGTAACGTGGTTCCCTTACAGTGAATCAGTGAATCTGTTGTTGGCTTATGTATCTTAGCATTGTGAGTTCCATGGAAATTGCTCGTCCCTGAGCTTCAACCAAGACCTCGGCAAAATGCCCTCAAAGTGACATGTACACTCTCTACCCCCCGGGATTACCATGCCCCGTTGATTACCAGATCCAGAATCCCATCGGCCATCGGAACCATTTCAGATTGGAGTTGTTCCGCAACTTATTTCATCGTAGTTCTAACTTGCTTCTGATTGACGGACTAGCTGCACCGACAGTTGACTGCATGGTCATAATGTCATGGCGCGGCCCTTGTTCTCCTGGCGTCGCCAACGTCTCAGATTAACTCATTCACGCGAGTCATCTCGGCGGCTTCAATCGGTCGACGAAGTCCTTGGCATGGAATCGAGAAGCCAGTGCGCGTTTCACTTCACAGCTGTGCGGGTGCCTTCTTCTCAATACACCCCCGAGCTGTTCTTCCAAACTTCACCAGAAGCTTCTTCAAATCGGATACCTGTCAGCACACGCTCACTCAAATGCACCGTTCATGCATTCCCACCACAACCTCCCCATGAGCTACCAGCCCACCCTCCCCTCCGCACCCGTGCCCAATCCCAATCCCACCCAGACCCAAAACCCAATGCAAAACCCACACATACCCACACATGTGTGCATTCCAAATTCCTCGTCACAACACTCATGCAATTACTGCGTTGTGTGTACGTGGATCAGACGTTTCCAGTCGTGTCCTTGCCGCACATCGTTCAACCATGTAGGATTATAAGAATCTTTGGGAGGCAGACTCTGGAATCTTATGATCATTTATTTTGTCATTTAGGAGTCATTTGGGAGTCATTTTATTGTCATTCCGTGTTGTCATTTTGTGGCAAGGCCTGCTTGACAAATGTCATTTGTGTGGCATTTCCTTGTCGTTTATTTGTTGTTGCTTTTGCTTCGTCGATGTCCTCGTTCCCGTGGGTCCTTCCTTTCCCGTGCATTCTACGCACGCATCAGCAGCATCATGGTCACCATTGGTGTTTCCGTTCCCGTGGCGTGCAGTTGTGCCAGTGGCCTTTAGCATCGGCGTCTTCAGCAAGGACCATGTGTAGCTGAAGAACCTCAAACGAAAGCACTACGTTGCCCACCCAGCCCCTAAAATTCTCCGAAAATTTAGGGGCCTGAGTCGGCGACCCTGGACCCTAAATTTTCGCAAAATTTTGGGGCCTGTCCCCCAATAAGCAGAACTTAGAATTTCTCGATGTACCTGCGCCCCCAATTGGGTCTGCCCCCGCACCCTCTTCTGGACTCTGGGCCTGCAATAGACAGATTCACAACCCCATGGGACAAATACCTCTCACCCACCCCGACCCAGGGCAGCAGCGACTTCCAGAGACGATTGCAGAATGACTCCTCCAATGACACCTGTCACAAGGAACGAGAACAAAATGACCCAAAAATTACTCCGAAATGCCAAAAAAACGACTCCGAAATGACAAAAACATGACTCCAAAATGACAAAAAAATGACTCCAAAATGACAAAAAAATGACTCCAAAATGACAAAGAAATGACAAAACCCTAAGGTTTTGTCATTTTTTTGTCATTTTGGAGTGATTCCACCCTGGCCCCGCCCCCGCCCTGCGGAAATGACAAAAAAATGACAGCCCCCTCCAAACCTCACAAAAAAAAGACACTTTGACGGTCACGGCCAACCCACCAGGTGCAAGCAGCCCGAGCAACCCGACCCCCAGCCACTTTGTCGGGACAGCCTGCAAGGCGGCAGCCTTCACACGCAACTTAAGAGACAGAATATCTCGAACCCTCCAGAACTCTTTCACCCTCCAGGAGGTGGCTACTAAGCGTGGCCTAGGGAGAACTGGGGCAATCCAAAGGACAGCAAGCACGGAGGATCAAAACCCAAGGTAGTGCGTCGCATATACAAAGCGTATGACCGTCCTGGGCCCTCTGCCCTACATTCTTACACAGTGTGCGAAATCTCAAGCTTTCTGAGCAACATCCATGTTTTCGGAAGTCCCTAGCTACAACTACGAGCTACTCAGGGCCCCAGACCTGTGACTGCACATGAGAATACTACAAGAGTACACAACAAGTTATCCCCAAACCCTCAAACACAAGCACCACGAGATGACAACAAAACGACAAAAAAAACGACCCAGAAATGACAACCTAAATGACAATTGGAAAATGCCATCACAAACAAAACGACAAACGCCAATGACAAAAAATCGACAATATAATGACCCAAATAATTCCTGGACCACACCTCAGACGTGCCATACAAGATTCTTATAAATGTAGGAGTAACAGGTTACTTGATGCCCTCAGAACGGAGGAAACCACGCCCATTGAATCACGTTGCAGCATATCCGGTCAATGCCAGTTGCTGTGGTTGGGGTTTTGTTTCCGAAGCATGTCTTCCTTCTCCGGAATCTCATCTTCACTGTTGGTATTGCAAATTTTAAAAATATTTTGTCGTTTCGACAGGGGTGCCAAACTTGACCTACATGCTTCAATCACGACGAACTTATTTTTACCTACATTACATCATGATTTGGACCTCAATGAATGCTGTGGTGTCATCGGAAGTTCAAAGCTCAGCAAGCCAAGCATCAAAGAAGCGAAACTGCTGCACCGGAAAGCTTCGCGATTCGCAAGACGATCACTATGTTCTGCATGTCGTGACGCAGCATCAATTGCATCAACAGGCTGCCGAAGATGATTCATCATTAATCATGATTGATCTCGTCGTTACAAAACTCAACGATTTCAGCCACCATGTTTCGAATCTCACTGTTGGGCCAAGATGTAACCATGTAATTAACCAACACTTGACTTTCTTTGCTGCTGTCTTTCTCGTCAGACCTCACAACGTACTAGGCGAAGAGGCGTCGGTTAGATTTACCTCCGGGAAACGCTTCGCATACTCATTCACGTCCAGGAGTATCATCATCCGAACGCCGTTTGGAGCCCCGAAGTTGGGTAGTTGGTTGAAGTTGGTTGCGCGAGTCGACCCGCTCATTTTCCTTTCTCTCGTAAAACGGCCCAAGCGCAAATGTCGCAGGGGGTGAGAACTGCTGCGCAAGTTCATGGAAGTTTGTCCCATCTGTTGCCAAACCAGCAGGACCGAAATGTTGCAACTCCCATTTGCCAACTGTACATGGCGATAGAGCTTGTGTCCCAAACAAGTTGCTTGAAGTAGCCGTGAACGCTATCCCGGAGGTTCTTGCACGAGAAAACGTACAAATCTGTTGCCCGGAACCAGGGCAGATTGCTAGCCGCGGCTGTGCAATCCATAGCCGAGTGATCGCCAAGGCACTTGGAGCACGCATGCGCGAGGTAGCACTACCCCTTCTCTGACAGTCATTCTTCGTGTTCGCATTAGCCCGCTGTGTTGTACAGCGGCCAGCTGTCACCGTGGCACCAGCATGGGCTTCTTGTTGATATCCTTGTCCTGGCTTTGGTTGCCCAAGCTGTTCCCCGTCTTGTTGATCTAGCCAGGGTTCTGGCCTCTTGAGCGTCCGAAGCGGCGTGAAGTGCCTCTCATTCATCTTCGCAACCACGTCCTTCCAGGACTGGACTACGCGCATAGCCGTCTTCTTATAATGCTTGTTGCCGTGCTTGTGCATCGCACGTCTGTAGCTCAGCACCAAGGTCCAAGGAGGAGCCAAGGAGCCACAAGCCTCTGATCGCCAAGCACATTGCAATCCCAAGTCGAAAGTGTCTCCGGGTCTTTGCCCTCGACGTATACTACTGTTTAGTGGGCACCTGCTTACCCTCGAGCTCACCAAACTTGGCCGAGATGGCCTTGTCTCATAACCAAGAAATCTGTGAGTGGGATCGGTTGGCGACTGTGTTGCGCTCCAGGCCACCAAGATGGAACAACATTTAGAGGGATAACTTTCTTCACGTCTGTTCTGTTCTCGAACTAGCCGCGAACTTAGTCACCTTGTCTATCCCGGCTTTGAAACGAATAGCTGGCCGACACGGTTCTGCGGCCACAATAGCCCCCAGGATCGCAGTGCTGTTTCGAGGGGGGACGCCTAGCCAAACTTAGGAGATCTAGGGGGAACTCCCGCCGGAAGTCGTTACTGCACCAGTTATCCTTTTTGTTGATGCATCTCAGCTGGGCTTACGTCAGGGAAGGCATTGGAGTAGTTCGGTTCTCCTCCGTTGTCCATGGCACAAGGCTTCCGAATTGGCACACTATTTTCACGATCTGCAAGCTGTGCTTGTTGTGTTGTTCGCCTGGCAAGCTGGTTGTACACAATGCACATCAGGCAAAGCAACATACGGCTCAAGGGGCAAATCGTAGCCCTCCCTAAGAGCAAAAAACGTGACGGTGCGCATCCGAGCTCCACTCTCAAGCTATACATTGCACCTATTCCACATGTAAGAGCTTTCTGCTCTCATCCAACTCTTGTGCATCAACACTCCTCCTCGGTTGGTGTGTCGGCACTCCAAGCGCACTCCTGATGCACCTCATCCCTCTGGAAGGACTTGACCATGCGTCACCTTGTAGTAGAGAGGGAAGTTGCCATCACAATAATAGCAAACTTGCATCTGTTTCAACCTGGTTTTGTTGGCATGTCTCAACCCATGACAGTTCGGAACTGCATGGAGTCTATCCCCATGCTCAGACATCACGAAGCTCTTCCTCAAGCGACGATACTGTCCATTCTGCGCCTGCTCCAACGCAGCTCTGAGATCTGGATCATCCTCCGCCCTTGCTGCTGCACTGGCACTAAATGCAGCGGTTGTAGGTGCCGCACTGGGAACCACAGGTGTAGTAGGCGCTGCACTGGACGAAGCTGGCGTGGTAGGCATCGCTCTCGTTGTAACCGGAGTGGTAGACACCTCGCTAGATGTAACAGCCACCCCCAAAGGCTCCGCCGGCATCGCCTTAGTCCCACCCGTCGACACCTTTGGCTTTTCTTCATACATTGGATCCGCAGAACTCGCACTCATTGAAGCAAGCTCCTCCTGCAGCGCCTTTGACGCCTGGCTACGGATCCTCATAAGCCTTCTGGCCTTTGCTACGGACATCTCTTCGTCACCAAAGAGCTTGTGTGCCACCCACTTCAGCGTCTCCCAGATCGCAAGCAGAGCAATCCCGCCCATCAACAACAGCCCATAGAACTCGAAACTACCATCATAGTCCAAAGGCTTCTTGTGATAAAGCTCTGTCGCTTCAGATACTGGAACGCTGTTCATCAACATGAGCCACACAAACATCCTCAGCATGTCATAGTACTCGGGGCCCTGCAACGACTTAATGATCACCTCTTGGTCCTCTTTCTCAATCTCTTCTGCCGTGCACATGCCCCACAACCTTCGTAGCTCGACCAGCCTGGCCACTGGGACTGGTTTCGTCCCCATATCCGCCACCTGTACTTCACCCGGAGTGTGAATCACTCGGATCCTCCCCTCACTGGTCTCCATCCTGAGGTGGCGTGCCTTCACCTTGAGGTGCCGAGTCTTCCAAGAGCCCGGTGAA